TGTGCAGCAACGTGACTCATGAAGACCCCCACCTCGTCACCCCTCCGTCTGCTTCCTCAAGTATCCTCTATCCCTTGACTTATTACGTAAATAACAACAAATTCTCATTTCCCCACCGAGCATTTCTTGCAGCAATTTCAGGTGATGTGGAACCCACTACTTACCGAGAAGCTATTTGTGATGATCGTTGGAAAGCAGCCATGCAAAATGAACTTGATGCTCTTGAAAAAACAGGAACGTGGACCTTAACTAAGTTGCCTCCACACAAATCTGCCATACGATCAAAGTGGGTTTACAAAATAAAATATCGCAGTGACGGAACTGTGAAACGTTATAAGGCACGTTTAGTCATTTGCGGAAATCATCAAATTGAGGGTATTGATTACCATGAAACATTTGCTCCGGTTGCTAAAATGGTTACAGTTCGAACCATCTTAGCAGTCGCTGCTTCTCGTAACTGGGATCTTTATCAACTGGACGTAGATAATGCTTTTTTACATGGTGATCTAAATGAAGAAGTGTACATGCATCCGCCACCTGGATTTCGAAGTATGGCCTCCGGTCTTGTTTGCCGGTTACATCGCTCTCTTTATGGTCTCCGGCAAGCCCCCCGTTGTTGGTTCCATAAATTAACTACGGCCCTAAAATCATTTGGCTTCTCTCAGTCAAATGCTGATTACTCACTTTTTACATTACACAATGGGTCCGGTTCCCTTTGTGTTCTCATCTATGTGGACGATCTCCTTATTACTGGCTCTAATCCTGCTATGGTTGACCAACTCAAATGTTTTTTGAAAAAAATGCTTTCCCATTAAAGATTTGGGCAAATTAAAATACTTTCTTGGGATAGAAGTGGCAAGAAGTTCTTCTGGAATTTTTTTATCACAACGGAAATATGTTCTCGATTTTCTGGCCGAAACTGGTTTGACGGGCGTCAAACCGTCGTCTTTTCCGATGGAACAAAATCATCGGCTTGCAATTGACACGGGCCCTTACTTTGATAACCCCGAGCGCTATCGGCGTGTCATTGGGAAACTCATTTATTTGAACCTGACCCGACCGGATATTAGTTATGCTGTTCACATCCTTGCTCAGTTTATGCAAAAACCACGTCTGGCACACTGGGATGCGGCAATTCGGGTTCTCCGCTATCTTAAGTCCACACCTGGACAAGGTATTCTTTTATCTGCCAGTTCAAAACTTGAACTTGCTGGTTACTGTGATTCTGATTGGGCCGGTTGCCCACTCACACGACGATCGGTAACAGGTTTTTTCGTCCGCCTCGGGGACTCCCCGATTGCATGGAAAACAAAGAAACAACATACGGTGTCTCGCTCTTCCGCTGAAGCTGAATATCGCTCCATGGCATCTGTAACATGTGAACTTATTTGGCTAAAAAGTCTTCTCACGTCTCTAAATGTTCATAATCAGCAGTCTATTCCATTATATTGTGACAATCGTGCAACCATTCACATTGCGTCCAATCCGGTCTTCCATGAGCGCACAAAACACATTGAGATAGACTGTCACTTCCTCCGAAATCATGTTCAGACTGGTCTTATTTGCCCTAGCCATCTAAGCACAAATGAACAACTCGCTGACATTTTTACAAAAGCTCTTGGTTCTCATCAGTTTACTTATCTATTATCCAAGTTGGGCATTTCCAACCTCCATGCTCCAACTTGAGGGGGATGTACAGATTCAAATGTATCTGCATTAGCATATGTTCTTGACAAGATACAAATATATTTAGAGGGCCATGTACGTATATTATCATCACATGTATTGTTATTGTATTTTAGCTAGTTTTATATTTCAACACCCACATGGGATGCTATGTACGTAGGATATTAGTTCTTTATAAGCATGTATAGTACTCTCTCACAAAACAACTGTGAACAATACAATTGAAGTATTTGTTTCCTCGGTATCATTATTTTACTTTAGCAATAAGTTAGAAACCCGTCAAACCCCTTTGCAAACGTATTACTATAAATTATTTTGGCAGTTTGAAGCTCAGGTTGTTCCATCTAGGAGGTAAGATTGCTTTCCACTAATAATAGGTATCTCTACTTATACTTAGATAGATATACGGATATACCTATTATTTCCACCGGTAGGGTTTTAGCATTCATTTTCAGCCTTTCTTGCACTATTTGTTGTCTTGATACTCTAAACGCACTACAGGGCATGTTTACTAATAGACATATTTTCTGGTTTTCTACTTTTCTTTTTCGTTCTCCAATTTCTGTTTTCATTTTCCAATTTTCTATCTTCAATTTTCTGTTTTCATATTTTAGTTTTCCATTTTCAAATCTGAAATCATGTTCATCAAAAATTTTCACCCGGTTCTGTGATCGTCCAGAAGACCGAAAGTGCAGACTTGACGGGGGATCGTCATGTCGTGGACCGGACAGGTACCACTAGGTCATGGACCGGACCGGGATTGCCCGCCCATTGACAGGACTGGTACCGCCTGGTCGTGGATCGGACCGGACAGGGATTGTTGGGTCATCGATCAGACCGGAAAAGGACCATCATGTCATTGAACAAACCGGACATGGATCACTGTGTCGTGGATCGGACCGAAAAGGGGTCACACAATCGTGGACCGGACTGGACAGGGACAACCGAGTCGTGGACTAGACCGGACAGGGACAATTGGATCGTCGCCCGGATCAGACCGGGATCATCGGGTCTTCGACCGGATTGGACCAGGATTGTCGACCGGATCAGACCGGGACCATCGGGGGTTCGAACAGATCGGACCGGGATCGTTGGGTCTTCAGTCGGACCGGACCGGGATAGCTCAGTCGTCGACCGGACCGGACAGGTACCATCGGGTCAATGACCGAACCGGACCGTCAGGTCTTTGACTGGATTAAATAGGGACCGTAGGGTCATTGACCAGAATAGAACCGACACCGGAGCGGTACCGGAATGGAACAGACACCGGAGCGGGATCAGATCAACCACTAGGTGTAAGGATGTTTTCTTTTGGACTGAAATTTGCTGGTTTGGTCTAGAGCTGGACTCGGGCCGGGCGGCCCGACCCGGGACCGAACCGGCCCGGTCACTGTTTGGCCCGGCCCGGCCCGACCCGTGGCCCGGTGGGTCCACCGGTTCGGTTTGGCCCGGCCCGGGTGCTGGGCAGTCCGGGTTCAAGCCCAGCTTTTGGTGAACCGGCCCGGCCGGTTCGGGCCCGGTCCGGGCCGGATTTTAATTTTTTAGAAATTTTTTTGAATTTTTTTTAAGTTTTAGGTTGGATTAGGTATTTTGGGCCATTTGAGGTGGTTTGGGATGGTTTGGGGTTGAGGGGGAGGGTTAGGGGATTAAATAGGAGAACAAAAAAAAAATTGGGCCGGTTTGGCCCGGCCCGGCCCGGTTTGGCCCGGAACCGGAACCGGAACCGGCCACCGGCGGTTCGGGCTCGGGCCTCCCCTTTCCTGGCCCGAGGCCCGGCCGGGCCCAGGCCCGAACCTGGCCCAAACCGGCCCGAGCCTAGCTCTAGTCTCTGGTCTGGTCTGGTCTGGTGTGGTCTGGTAAACGTCTGGTCTCTGCGTATTTTATAACTATGAAACTATGGTCTGGTCAGTTTAAGTCTGGTCTGGTCTGTTCTGGTCTGTTTAAGTCTGGTCTGATCTGGTCTGGGACTGAAAACGGTCCAAAAGAAAACATCCCTAAGTATGCAAATTCAATGCAGTGGCACTGTAGTATCCGCGTTTTCTAAATTTGGAAAACTAGTAAAAGTCACTTCTCCATATCATTAAGAAAAAGAGAAACATGTCTCGTTTTTTTCTGTTTTGGAAAACCATTTGGTAAACGCATTTTGTTGTTTTCCATTCTACAGTTTTCTATCAATTTTCTTTGGTAAACACGCTTCCTGTTTTCTGTTTTCTAGTTTTCAGTTTTCTGGAAAACTGGAAAATATCTCTGTTAGTAAACAGGCACTTAGCTTTTCTTGCACACATTATATACATCTATTGTTGTTTAATTTCGATATTTTTTTGCAATCTTTCTTACTTTGATTATCTTTTCTTATGCTTATAATCAGTCATACAATCTCTCGATCACTCTTACAAAGTTACAATTCTACAAATCTAATCAATTCTAAAGTACATAATAAAAGTTTGGCCATTCCATAAAACTCAGCGCATGAATGCATGCAGAAGATCCGTAACCGCACATAATATGAAGGTCTTACTTTAGATAAGAGTAGAATAAAAATAATATGCTTGGACATTTTGTCGAACACACATGGCGCGTTAAAAAACTAGTACTAGAGATATAGTACTAGAGATAGATGGGGATATTTTCGCGGCTTCCCTGACCGGCTCAATTGGAGAGGAGGGATCGGCTTTGACTGCTCAGATCAGCGAATTAGGATCTAAATTTTTGGTGCTTAACAGCCAAGCTGTTGAATGCTCAGACCGGCTCTTTTTGGTGCTAAATTATGTTGTCTCTATTTTTGGTGCTAAACAGCCAAACTTTGCTCTTAAATTGCCATCAAGATGCCATTATTTTTGCAAGTTAACATTTTTCGGTGATATAATTCAAATACATAAATTATTGTCACATTCGACTATTAACTTCAATTAAGATGTAAGATATGTTGGGACGACCATTTCAGCTCAAATGAGGATTGGGTTGGATGCTCTCCTTTTGATCCATTGTCAATTAGTATTCATTCACACTTCCACATAATATTAACATAAATTATTGTTATCAACATGTAATTTATGTTCAAATTATGTATTTGATATATCAAAAGAAAGTAATATGATATCTCAAATACATAATGTTAACATAAATTATTGTTCATGTGTCATTTATTTATACTAGCGTAAGCTCATCTGGTGTAGTTATAACTTGGATACGACTTTAAGGTTGTTCGCAACCCAAGGGGTGAAAGCCCCAAATATAAGGTATTCACCCCAAATATGTTGCAACACTACCCAAATTAACGTATTCCAAGGTGCCAAGGTGGGTTGGGGCCTTCTTGTGGACACTCAGTAATATTTAAAGAGAAATCATTATTAATCGACTGCATATTCTTGTATGGAAACACACATATACAAGTGTAGAAAAGTAATGTATATTCTTATTTAAGGAATATAAAACATGGATTCATATTTAGGAATTTTAACCATGTTTTATTCCTATTTAGGAAATTTCTTCTTATTCAATCATCATACTAAGCTAGGAAAAGTATGATGAAAATATTAAAGATGATGGTGTGAAGTTGGAGTCCGAACTTTGGTTTCCACGTGAGAGTGGAAACAGATGAAGCTCCCGAGTGACGATGAGCATTGGCTGCACTGGCTGCAGCAGCGCTACTGCTGGAAGAGCCCTTCGCCAACGCCGCTGTAAACATGGCATCGAATAAGAACACAATGATGATGACTTTCGTAAATTTCTTAGTCGCAGAGAAGCCGTTTAGGATCTTTGTCTCCATGATTAGCGGACGTACTTCTCTCAATCTCCTTCGAAGAAATTCAAAGAACTTAATTATTAATTTCGTGAATAAAAAAATTAAACACACTTCACAAGCTAGCTTGATAGAACACATTCGAAAAGTGAGTTAATATTTCCTCCGTTCTCTTTTAGTTGCAAAAGTTCACTTTTCATGTTTGTTAACGAACAACTTTAATCATTAAAATATATCATATCTTATTACTAAAAATATTTAAATTTTCATATTTTGAAAATTTAAAATGAGAGGAATTTGACAATAATTTTCAAAGAAAAATTACAATACATTAATATATAAAATGTAGTCAAAGTAGAGTATGTGAAAGGGCAAAACTCACCAATATAATGTATTGATGTACGGAGTATTATTGTTTGTAACACAGATCAAATAAATATACTCCACGAAATAGATGTATATATAGTTGGAGATAAGTCCGCATTTGTCTTTAGATGGAATTGCTTTGACACGAAGTTACATATACGGAGTATATGACATGTGCATATGCGTACTACTTCTGTGGAATATACATGACATGTGCACATGCGTACAACCCGTATTGAATTACTTCCACCTGAAGATATATTGACGTCAACCGGATTGGAGTAAAATATAGAGAAATTAAATTGCCCTAAATAAAAGTAAACCATGATTAAAATTCCTAAATGAGGTCAAATTTTATATCCTTTAATTAAATACGACTATGCATTACATATATACTGTTCATAAAATTAATTGCCTCCTAGTTTTGCGGTCCTAGAGTAACCAGGACAGACCCGATCGGAAGTGGAGGCTATTGGAAGACACGTATGCATAAGGCCATACGTACGCATGCATGCAGCCATTCTTTATTCTTCTTGATAAGATTTAACTAATACCGATAATGTATTATTTTTTATTATATTGTGTTGGAGGTATTGGTCCTACCAAGGCCTCCCTTTCACTTTATTAGCTGAGGCTTGCACCCTATTAATTTACTCCCTCTTTGACACCTTTACCTTGGTATATTACCTGATCAATTATATACCTGGTTTGCTACCCCATTGCTTCTGTCCGCTGCAACCTGTTTTTTGGCTTAGCTTATATCCGTGAGTGTCCTTACCACCTTGTGACTGTCCTTGTTGTCTGCCCATAGGCTGGCAGCCTACTATAAGTCAACACTCTTCCTTGCCTTTGTGAATTAAGCCTGCGTGAGAAACAAACTGAGAGCAGTGTCTTCCTTCTTCCTCTTTGTGAGTTCCTTTGTGGTTAGAAGAAGAGAGTAAAGAGAATAGGTGTGCTATAGCTTCCCCTAGAGTGGTGTATGTGAGTAGTGTGTGTTGAAAGACCTGAGCCGGAGACGGAATCCGATCCTTACAGTGGTACCAGAGAGAGGTTCGCCGTCTGCCGCCGTCGATAGGAGCTCGCCGAAGGTCAGCCGATACTCTGGGTCCTGCCTTCGTTCGACGCTGGTTACTGAAATCGAGCTCGCCTGAGGTTCTTCGTGGTTCTCTGCCTGGCATCGATTCTGGAGACCAAAGACGTCGTTGAACTGCCGCCTGGAGATCGAGTCCGCCGCGGTGGTACTAAAATCGCCCGAAGCTCAGCCGTCACTCGCCGCCTCAGAAAGTTGTTAGTCGGAAATCGTCCGCCTGGAGCTGGTTCGCCGGGTTTTCTCGTGGCTGGAACCGTCGCTTGTCCGTCGAAGCCATCACCTGCAGTCGTTGTTCGCAGAGGACGAAGCAACGAAGAACACTGACACTGTTCATACTTCATACGCGTTGGACCGATGCTGATTTGGACTGCTGCAGCAGCTTGTTGAGTCTCTGGGCTATTGGGCCTTTTTTGGGCTGCTAGGTTGCTGCTGATTTTGCTGACCTGGACTGTTGTTGGGCTTGTGGGCTGACTGGAGTTGTAACACCCCAGCCCCGTGGGACCCGAGGAAGTTACTCCTACACACCCTTCAGACCTCTAGTACTGTCCCCACAAACCACCACAAGCCTTTACCGCGCACTTTGTCCTCACTCATGCGCGCCCTGAGAAACTTCCCAGGGGGTCACCCATCCCAAGACTACTCCCGAGCAAGCACGCTTAACTTTGGAGTTCTTGGGTGATGAGCTCCCTTAAAAGGAGATGCACCTCTGTTGGTATGAGTAGTACTATTAATCCTCTTATATTAAACTCAGGTATTACAATCACCCCCATTTAGGATCGCAACGTCCTCGTTGTGCCCTTAAATCAATCTCAATCACACCCCAGAATCTTTTTCCCCTGCTAAGTGCCTGCCCGATATCCAACGGATCAGCACACTGTCGCAGGGTTGCTCTGATACCACCTGTAACACCCCAGCCCCGTGGGACCCGAGGAAGTTACTCCTACACACCCTTCAGACCTCTAGTACTGTCCCCACAAACCACCACAAGCCTTTACCGCGCACTTTGTCCTCACTCATGCGCGCCCTGAGAAACTTCCCAGGGGGTCACCCATCCCAAGACTACTCCCGAGCAAGCACGCTTAACTTTGGAGTTCTTGGGTGATGAGCTCCCTTAAAAGGAGATGCACCTCTGTTGGTATGAGTAGTACTATTAATCCTCTTATATTAAACTCAGGTATTACAGGAGTAGGAGCTACTGCTTGAGCTACTGGGGCTGTTAAGCTTCTGGGCTGGTGCTGTCACTGCTGCTGGCCTACTGGAGCAGCTGAGTTGCTGCTGGACCTTGACCACTGGACTGCTTGGACCTGGACTGCTGGACCTGGGCTGGTCAACCGGTCAACCGCCAGTCAACGCCGGTCAACGCCGGTCAACGGCAGTCAACCCCTCCAGAAAAATCCCATTTTTTAAAATTGGGTAGGTAAGATCGAAACGCTCTCCTAGGGTTTCGCGAAGGTAAGTTTTCTGTAAACTTCCCATTTGTTACATTCCGGTTTTAATTTAATTTAATTTTTTCCCCCTCCCCGCGGGCCGCCGGTTGATTTAATCCCGGCCGCCAACCCCCCAGGTACGTTTTCTAAACTCACTCCTTTGTGGTAGTTTGTTTTAGTTAATTAATTAAATTGCTTTGTGTTATTTAATTTAATTGTTATGCGTAGGGGTGGTTTATTGGGTGGTAGGGGTAGAATTAATTAAATTTAATTTTTTTCTGCCCGGAATTGTTTAATTGCCATTATGTCCATTTTTTTGCTATGTGTTGCATGCTGCCCGGGGTTATTAAAGTGAATACTTTATAGCCCGGGTTGGATTGTTTTCTGTCAATTCAGTCTGTTTAGCTTTGTGTTCCTTTGTGGTTGATACCATGGCTGCGAATCAGTATGGTATGCTTCCATTTAATGGAAAAACAGATTTTGATATTTGGAAACAGAAAATAAAGTGTGTTTTAATACAGCAAAAAGTTTTCAGAGCTGTCACTGGTATTTTCCTTGAATCAGAAGATAAGGCTAAGCAAATTGAAATGAACGAAACTGCTTGTTCTACTATTTACTTGAATCTGTCTGATTCTGTGCTTAGGAAAGTAGGTATTCTTGAGTCTGCTAAGGAGTTGTGGGAGAAATTGGATAGTCTCTATACTGATACCTCTTTGCCCGGGAAGTTGTTCTTACTAGAGAAATTCTTTAGGTTTAGGCTTGACCTGACTAAGGATATAGATGAGAACCTGGATGTGTTTAATAAACTGATACAGAATATCAAACAGGCAGGTGATAAACACATAGATGATTACACTCCCATAGTATTACTTAATGCCATTCCCGACTCTTATAATGATGTTAAGTCCGCTATTAAGTACGGTAGGGATGAGATTTCGTTAGACATTGTTGTGAATGGGTTAAGGAGTAAGGAATTAGACCTGAAGCATGCTAGGGGTAGTGCTAGTCAGTCCAGGGACTCCGGTGAGGCTATGTTTGTTAGGGGTAGATCTAAGGGTAGGTCTAAGAACCCTAAGCAAAATAGTCAGGGTAAGAACACTAGCACTACAACAAATTTCATTTATAGAGGCAACTTGTTGGGGCAACTTACATATTATTGCCTCTAATTACCTACTTTTGCATCAAATTGATCTAGTTGCCTCTAATTCAGAAAATTTGAGGCAACCTTATTCTAGTTGCTTCTAAATGGTGCTATTTAGAGGCACACTTCTATGGTTGCCTCTGAAAAGTCCCATTTTGAGGCACACATTTATGGTTGCCTCTAAAAAGTCCCATTTTGAGGCACACTATTATAGTTGCCTCTGAAAAATCCCATTTTGAGACACAATTTTATGGTTGCCTCTAAATGAAGCTATTTGGAGGCACACTTTTATGATTGTTTTAAAAGTATTTATATTTATATTATTATAATTGTTTCTAAAGCATATAATCATAAATGTCATCTTGTTTATAAAGGCAAAATTTACACCAAGTACTTAACACGATTGTATTTTTTTTATAATTATAGTTACAATTGTAATTATTTATAATTACCGCGTTAGAATTAGATGAGTTAAGACTTAAGATTATAGTTACAATTATAATTATTTTAAATAAGATTCAGATCAGATAAGATAAAAAGATTAAAATACATATCAGATCTAAAATTTCAAATCAGATTAGATAAAAAAGATTTGGATCAGATCAGAAAGATTCAGTTCAAATCAAATTAAATGAAAAAAGATTCAGATCATATCAAGTATTAAAAAATTCACACCAGAAATTTTAAAATTAGGCGAATCAAACCGATTCTAAGTTAGTTGATTTAAGAGCCTGTTTAGTGACCAATTTTTTCAGCTTATCAGGCTTATCAGACGGCTTTTTCACCAAACACGTAATTTTTAATTTCGCGCGCTAATTTGTTTTATAGCAGATATAAATAAAGATGATGCTAAATCAAATTGCACGATTTTCCAGCCATGTTAAGGATTTCTAAATGTTTGGGTAATTCCAAGTACTACAAATATTAGCAGATAGAGTAGGATCCGATAAAAAAAAGTGAACATCCATTTTTAATATTTGTGTATGCTTCTGAATACTGAGAGTCTGAGACAATCGTTGTTAAGTGTAAAAAAAACTTTTCCTAGCTAACTCTCTAGAGTCTTCCTCTAGAGTCATAGCTAGGAAAGTAGTTGAGGCAACTTAATTATTATTGCCTCTAAAAGACCTTTTAGCATTAGATAAACTATATATAGTTGCCTCTAATTGGGTAAGCTCTAAATTACTTATGAGTATTGTCATTCAAGTTAATTTTTATATTTTTGTTGCTAATAATAAGTTTTTGCAAGGACAAATTTGATATTGGACTTGACGATGCTGAAGATGAAGAACACTATGAAATGATACTAGAAAAGAGAAAAAAAACATTGATGAGATCTTTGAATAAGAAGTACCGAAACTACAGAGCAAGATTAAAAAGGATGTATTATGATACAGAAGATACAGATGCAGAACGATTGAAGGAAAAAAATAAGCCACCATGTGTTGACAAAAAAGATTGGAAATGGCTTGTTGAGTATTTTGGATCTCCAAATTTTCAGGTGAATAAATGCGTGCACACACACAAACATCCATGCATTACACATAAATCAGAACACTTTTTGTCCATATTTTCTCTTGCTTCAAATTTAATGTCATCCATTTTAATATAATAGAAGAAGAGTAAACGAAATACGAACAATCGCTCATGCCAACTTGCTGGACACACTGCCGGTACAAAGAGTTTTGCTCAAGTTGTTCAAGAAATGGTACTAGTTTTTTTTATACATTTTGAATCATTTATAGTTTCAATTATTTTTCATCTAAATATGATTTCTTTCATGCAAGCTTGAAAAAAATCAAGTAATGCCCAGCATGCTAGAAGCGTACGAGGCAACTCATACTAAAAGTGACAACACACCTGTGAATGATTCTGCCAAAGCAACTATGGTAAGTAAAATATGTACTTAGTTCAATATAGTACATCTTATGAGACTGGAAATACATTTGGCATATATATATTAGTGGTGTTTGAATAGTTGTGCTTTTATTGCAATATGGATTAGCATTTGTGTTATTTGAGTAGTTGTGGTAATGTGCTATTAAAGATTAAAGGTCTTAAAAAGGGGGGAATTAGAAGACGAGTTTCAACAACAAAACGGATTACATTTCATTAGTTCCAGTAGTAAAATTTCAATATTTATTGTCAAGAATATTTATTGCCAAGAATTTCGGGTTTTTAGTTATCATTTTAACCTATTTTTTAGAATTGTGGATCATGAATATTAACTGCCTACCTTGTGGTCATTGTTCGCTAGTTTTCTGCTTTCTTTTAACAAATGTATGAACCTGATCTTTACAATTGTGTATTATGGATGTATTCGCCATCTGTGTGGTTATTGCTCGCTAGTTTTCTGCTTTGTTTTAGGAAGTATATGAACCTTAGGATATTTCATTGTAAAGAGATAACTATTGATGTTGAAAATATTGTGCAGATTTTATATCAGAGTTGTGAGACTTGAACTGGTGCAGATTTATATAATAAATGTAAATTGATTTTGTCCAATGAATTAGAGAAACCTAGGCCAACTAATACTAAATGTATGTCATTGTACTTTTTCACATGTTTTTCATTTAGGTGATCATGATTTCTGATTTGCAATTACTTTTTGCTATTGTAGTCAAAAATGAAAGAGCTTCTGGAGCAACGTGCAGCGGGAGAAATCAATATGACTGATGAGGAAATCTATGCAAAAGTTAAACCCACAAATAATCGTGGACGAGATCGTGGCACGGGAGTAAGTCCCTCCATTACATCATTGTATGGGTCATATAGTGAAGGTGAAAAGTTGCGTAAGGAAGCTGAAGAGGCCAAGAAGGAAGCTACAGAGGCTAAGAAAGAAGCATACGAGGCCAATGAAAAAAATAAAGTGTTGACCGAAGAGGTGAAAAATATGAGAAGTTGTATGGAGAAGTTCTTGAACATGGTGGGATATGATTTTTCAGAATTAATAAATAATGAGGTATCTCATTAATTGAATTCATTATTTTTATTTATGTGATATTGGTTTTAGTAATTAGAAATATTGATTAATTGTTTATAATATGTCAGGCGGACCAGGATGACACTGAAGTGGAGACGGATGAGGAAGATGATTGAATTCTCCAAAGTGAATTTGTTCTCGCATTTAATTATAAGTCGCTCAATCATAGTGCTTAGTAGGCCTGGTAGTTTCATACTATTTAGATTTTTTCATAGGTCTTTTGTTGTTGAGTAGTTCAAAAAGAGACATGTTATATTAATTAAGATTTCATAGTGAATGATTGTACTTGTTTTAATCAAGATTTCATAATTTATATTAATTAATTCATTCATTTTTTTTCTCCCACGTTAAATTTACATTGTATGAGTCAAAAGTTACGGCTGTCTTTGAAAGCTTTCACAAGAAAAAACAAGTTGCATGTAAATGCTATTAATGTCACAATAATGAACTGCCTCTAAAGGTGTTTTGAGTTACTATATTTTGGTTGCCTCTAATTATAATTTAATGCATTATAAATTGGTTGCATGTAATGACATTTTGAGGCCGAATTGTGGTTGCCTCTAAATATAATTTGAGATGCCATATATTGGTTGCATCTAATGACATTTTGAGACAAGTTATTATGGTTGCGTCTAAATATAATTTGAGGCACCATAAATTGGTTGCATCTAATAACATTTTGAGGCTGGATTATGTGATTGCCTCTAATGAGGATTAGAGGCAGGTTATTACGGTTGCCTCAAAATGTACACCTTTTTGCATCAAACCATCGGTTGCCTCTAAATGTGGTTTTAGAGGCAACCAATATTTAGTGACGGATTATTTAGAGGCACCTTGGAGGCAACCAATAAATTGCCCCAAAAAATCATTAGAGGCTACTTTCATAGTTTTAGAAGCAATTACGTGTTGCCTCTATAAATGAATTTTGTTGTAGTGTAGTCAGCCTGGGAGGAAGAGGAGCAAATCTAGGAAGAGAGTGTGTTACAATTGTGGTAACACTGGCCATTTCATTAAGGATTGCCCCCACCCTAAGAAGACCGAACATGCTAGTGTAGCTGTTGATAAATGTGACCTTGGTGATATCTTGATGGTTTGTGACCATGTTAATTCTGTGAGAAATTCCCTGTCTGAGCATGAATGGTTGATTGACTCTGGTTGTACCTATCACATGTCCCCCTTTAGAGATTTGTTTTCTACATATGAATTATGTGATAGTGGCTACGTTTCCTTAGCTGATAATAAGAGATGCAATGTGCTTGGTGTTGGTGATATATGTCTGAAGTTTTCTTGTGGCTCTGTGTTTACCATTAAGAATGTGAGGCATGTCCCTGATTTGTGTCATAACTTGTTATCTGTTGCTGCTTTGGAGAGTAGTGGGTTGCAGGGAAAGTGGGGGAATGGTTGTATGAAAATCCTGAAAAACTCGCTTGTTTTGTTTAAAGCTGAGAAGGTGAATAACCTTTATGTGTGTCATGCTAAACCTTTTGCTGAGTCTGTGAATGTTGTATGTTCTGATAAGACCTCTTTGTGGCATAATAGGCTAGGACATATGAGCAATAAGGGTTTAGATGTCATGCGTAGGGCTGGTTATTTTGGTAAGGACTCTGTGACTTCTGTGCCTTTCTGTGAATCATGTGTGTTGGGCAAGCAGCATAGAGTCAGTTTCCCTCCTTCCTCTTACCCTAATCTGTCTAAGTGTTCGTCTGTGCTTGAATATGTTCATGCCGATGTTTGGGGTCCTGCCAGTGTTCCTACCCACGGGGGTAGGAAATATTTCCTTTCTATCATTGATGATTTCTCTAGGAAGGTGTGGGTTTGCCTTTTAGAACACAAGTCTGATGTGTTTGTGAGGTTTAGGGAGTGGAAAACCCTAGTTGAAAACCAAACTGGCAGGAAGGTTAAAACCCTTAGGACCGATAACGGGTTAGAGTTCTGTAATAAGGAGATGGATAAGCTGTGTGTGGATTGTGGGATAAAAAGGCACAAAACTGTGCCTTATACTCCCCAACAGAATGGGATAGCAGAGAGAATGAATAGGTCTCTGTTGGATAAGGTTAGAAGCATGTTAGCTACCTCTGGTTTGTCTAAGAAATTCTGGGGTGAAGCAGTCACTACTGCTGCCTATTTGGTTAATAGGTCCCCGTCTGTCCCTCTTGGTGGTAAGTGTCCTGAAGCCGTCTTTACCGGTAAGCCTCTTGATCTGTCTAACCTTCGGGTGTTTGGTTGTGCAGCGTATGCACATCAACAGGGTGACAAGTTGGATCCTAGGTCTAAGAAATGTGTCTTCCTAGGTTATCCAGAGGGGGTAAAGGGTTACAGGTTATGGGATAGGAACCAGGTAGGCTTTAAAGTGGTCCTTAGCAGAAATGTGGTGTTCAATGAAACTGATTTTCCTTGCTTGACCGAGTCTGTTTCTGATCCTGAGTCTAGGTCTGATAGTACTCCTAATGAGGTGGAGTCTGTCCCTGTTGCTGCTAGTCCTTTGTCTGTTGATCCTGTTATTACTGATGAAATTGTTATGCATGATTCTGATTCCTCTGAGCATGATAGTCCCACCACCTCGAGTGAGGTGGAGCATTTGCATGATACTGAGCATGATTTGCATGATATGGGTGCTGAATCTGATTTTCATGATAACAATAATTTGCATGAGTTGCATGAGGAGCCTAGTAGTGATAATTTGCATGATTATCAACTTGCTAGAGATAGGAGTAGAAAGGCTATCAAGAGAACTGCTGATAGTATGCCTGATTATGCTTTCATTGTGCATGATACCTCTATGTTTGCATTTTCTGTGTTTGAATCCCTAGAGCTGAATGAACCCAAGACCTACCGTGAAGCCTTAGGTTCCAAAGAGTCTCAGAAATGGATTAGTGCCATGAAAAGTGAGATGGACTCTTTGAGAGTGAACCAGACTTGGACCCTTGTAGTTAGACCCCCCAACTGTTCTGTAGTTGAGTGTAAGTGGTTGTTTAAGGTTAAGGAAGAACCTAGTGATGTTAGGTTTAAGGCTAGGTTGGTTGCGAAGGGGTTTACTCAAAAAGAGGGGGTAGATTATGCAGAAATCTTTGCTCCTGTTGTTAAATTCACCACTATTCGTATGATGCTTGCTTTAGTTGCTCACCATGACTGGGAAATGAAACAGATGGATGTAACTACTGCATTTTTGCATGGTGAATTGGATAAAACAATTTATATGACCCAGCCTGAGGGCTTTGTGGATCCCAAGAGAAGTGAGCATGTCTGTTTGCTTAGGAAGGCATTGTATGGCCTGAAGCAATCCCCTAGGCAGTGGAACATCAAATTTGATAAATGCATGATATCTTTGAAGTTCCATAAATCTGTTTGTGATCATTGCCTGTATTTCAAAAATACTTCTTCTGTGCCTGTATTTTTGTTACTCTATGTGGATGACATGCTGATAATTAGTCCTTCTCTGAATGCTATTAAAGATGTGCAGAAATGTCTTTGTGCGAATTTTGCCATGAAAGACCTAGGTGATGCCAAGAGGATCCTAGGCATAAACATTGTTAGGGATAGGAGTAAGCGTACTCTTACTTTGAATCAGATTTCTTACATAGAAAAAGTTTTGAGTAAATTTAATATGTTATCTGCTTCTCCTGTTAATGTCCCTATGGCATCTCACTTTGTGTTAAGTAAGGACCAGTCTCCCAAGACTGCTCCTGAAATTGAGAAAATGAAATCTGTGCCTTATTCCAGCGCAATAGGGTCGGTGATGTATCTTATGGTTAGCACTAGACCTGATATTGCATATGCGGTTAGTTGCTTGAGTAGATATATGTCCAACCCTGGTTTGCCCCATTGGAATGCTCTTAAGTGGTTGCTTAGATATCTGATTTCTACTGTGAGGCATGGATTAATTTTCTCTAAATGTGCTAGTGGTATTGAATTGATTGGTTATGTTGATTCTAACTATGCAAATGATAGAGATAACAGGAAGTCGACCACTTCTTATGTTTTTACTTTGTGTGGCTCTTGCATTAGTTGGAAGTCTCAACTACAGCCTATTGTGGCCCTTTCTACCACTGAGTCCGAGTATGTTGCAGCCACAGAAGCGTTTAAGGAAGCCATCTGGCTCAAACGCCTTGTCTCCGAAATTGGGTTTCTCAAAAAGGGAGTTACCATTTTCTCGGATAGCCAATCGGCTATCCAACTTTGCAAAAATCCTGTATTTCATGATAGAACTAAGCATATTGATGTTAGGTTCCATTTCATACGTGATATTGTTGATGCAGGTGGAGTCAAGCTGTGCAAGATCCCGTCGGAGTTTAACCCCGCGGATATGGGTACCAAGTGTCTTTCTGTTGAGAAGCACTTGTCCTGTAAACGCGTGTTAAATTTTGACTGTGGATAACTGTGGGTTGCCTAATAAAGTGTTTGCCCGTTGTGTCTGTTGATATTCCGGGTGACCCGGCGATGATGAGTCTTGTCACAACTTTGTTTTGTTACTCTACACCACCTAGGACCAATAAGGTGGAGAATGTTGGAGGTATTGGTCCTACCAAGGCCTCCCTTCCACTTTATTAGCTGAGGCTTGCACCCTATTAATTTACTCCCTCTTTGACACCTTTACCTTGGTATATTACCTGATCAATTATATACCTGGTTTGCTACCCCATTGCTTCTGTCCGCTGCAACCTGTTTTTTGGCTTAGCTTATACCCGTGAGTGTCCTTACCACCTTGTGACTGTCCTTGTTGTCTGCCCATAGGCTGGCAGCCTACTATAAGTCAACACTCTTCCTTGCCTTTGTGAATTAAGCCTGCGTGAGAAACAAACTGAGAGCAGTGTCTTCCTTCTTCCTCTTTGTGAGTTCCTTTGTGGTTAGAAGAAGAGAGTAAAGAGAATAGGTGTGCTATAGCTTCCCCTAGAGTGGTGTATGTGAGTAGTGTGTGTTGAAAGACCTGAGCCGGAGACGGAATCCGATCCTTACATATTGTACATTTTTTTGTTGTGGTTATCCACTCCAACCGTTAGCAGTAGTATTGGAGTAAGACTTTATTTGTAGCTGATTGCTGCGTAGCTTTAGGCGAAGGTTAGCACGCTATGAAGCACGGATACTTCGCTAGGGTAGCGTATCGGCGTATCCGATACGTTCCCGTATCCGATACTCTAGGATACCCGTACCGTACGTTCCCGGGCCGTATCTGCAATTTTTAAAAGTTTCCATTTTTTTTTTTGTAATTTTTTGAAAGTTTCCGATACTCGTATCCTGACGGATACCC